CTTTTTTCCTGTTTTCTGTGCAGTTTAAAAATGCTGGTGGTGTTAATACACCAAACACTTATGTGGACGATGTGGGCCAAAGTGAGGAGGTTAATGGAATAGCCGAAGGTGCCAGGGAAGAAGACAGTGGGGAAGGTTACAAAACTGAGAGCCGTGAAGAGGATGATGATGACGATGACAATGACAATGATGAGGTGGATCATCCAGGTCAAGCTTCCATTGGGAAGAAGCTCTGGACTTTCCTCACAACATGATCAAAAATAAAAAGTCGAACTTCTCGCATGTCAAATTCTGCAACTCTATTAGCGTCGGTTTCTATTTCATTTCTTTTTCGTGGTCGTCAAATTTGCTTTAGTTCAGATGTGTGTATTTTAGTAGTGTGCAGAGCGAGATTTGACTGTGTAATGCAGGTAGCTGCAAGTCAAGAGGCTCTAGGGGAGATTATTTAGCTTTACGCTCTGCCATTTGATTGTTTGAATTTTTTTTTTTTTTTTTGTCAAGTGGTAAGACAAGTCATGAGTAGTACATTCTTGGACAGGGCTCCTGTTGACACTGAGATTGGTTTGTATCAGAAGGTTCTGATTTCTGTCTATCTATCTTAATTAAATTAGCTACGAGCTTAAATTATTTGACTATAAATATGATAGTAAATGATATATAACTATTTGTGCTTCGTGTGTATTTTGCCTTGCTTATCGTGTCATTTGACCCAATATGGTAAAAGATGGAAGTATCTAGCCGAAGGCTATAAACCAAGAAGATATTCAAAAACCAATATATATTTACATGGTAAAGATGGTGGACTATACTAATTACATACACCAAATGAAGTCCCTAACTCACAGATTATCATACTTATTTTCCTCAAACAAACAGAACTCGAAAATAGTATGAATCCCCCTGAATAAAAAACATTTACATGTTGAGGAAAAAACAATTATTTTTGTACGAAAATGTACAATGTTATCACTCTCTATCGGAGCAAATCTCACAATGCCCGTTGACTGTGCCAACCTCGCACTGTTTGCAAGGTTAGAGAAGTTGCAGTTTTAAGATTCCTCGGGTTCACCTGCCACGTCATTCGCCAGAATCTGAAAATTTAGAGAAGTTGCAGTTTTAAGATTCCTCGGGTTCACCTGCCACGTCATTCGCCAGAATCTGAAAATGAAAAAAAATGGATGAAAATGTTATATGGTTGAGATAATTTCTCTCTCTCTCTCTCTCTCTTTTTCTTTAATGACGATGATAATAATAATAATAATAATAATAATAATAAATATACCTGGAAGAGTTGGTGTTTTTCCCCATGGTTGGTAGTATTTGTTTCAAATTTACTGGAATTTTTTCTGGAGTCCAAGGCATCTGGAATTCAAATAGAACAGTAAAAATATCATTTCGACCGGCTCATGAGATATATTAATTCCAATGTGGGCCCATGTTGTAGCGAAATTTTCAAAGAACCAAAATGCTTTGTAACAAACAGAAACGGAGTAAAGGAGCCTTGGCTTGGATATCTTGAAAGAAAATGTCTGAATCCAAAATTAATGGAGGTTTGGGATTCCGACATCTGCAGTTCTTTAATAAAGCGTTGCTGGGCAAACAAGCCTGGAATATCTTAAATCATCCCTTTTCCTTAAAGGCAAATACTTTCCAACCGGTGATTTTCTTGACTCCAATGTTCAATCTAAATNATCTAATTTTACTTATCTATGGAAGTGTCTTCTGTGGGGACGTAAAGTCGTTAAAGCGGGCATACGCTGGAGGATTGGGGATGGCTCCAAAGTTAAGATTTATAGTCATAATTTTCCGTTTAGGACTCTTTCCCAGCCTGTGAGCTCGTCCAGGATCTTATCGGTATCACCGGGTCTTGGAAAATCGATCTGCTTCACCAACTTTTTCTGCCCATTGATGCTATCACAGTAATATCTATTCCGTTAAGTGAAAATTTGGGTGATGATCGATTAATTTGGCATTTTACGGGGAACGAGAGATATTCGGTGAGAAGTGGATATCATCTTCTTAAAAGCTTACAGGAGGACTCTTCGGCGTCCAATTCAAATCCAAATACGGCTGTGGAAAACAACTTTCCCCTAAAATAAAGATTTTCGTTTGGAAGGTATCATCCTCAGCCATCTCATCCTCATCCTGTGAAAATCTCGCTCGGAGAAATATAATTTTGGACGGTCGGTGTTTGCGGTGTGGTTGTTGGGAAACAAATACTCATTTTTTCTTCGAATGTGATTAGGCAAGGAAGTTATGGAAATACGCAGGATGGTGGGATGTTATTTCGGAAAACGGGATTTTATATCCCCTTCTTTGGCTATTCTAAATGGGAATTGTGGTGTTGATTTCAAGAATTTTGTTGTTACCTTGTGGCTTATTTGGCAGGAGCATAATTGTCTCCGTAGAAATTTCAAGGCAAGCGGACAACGAAGCGCAGCTTGATGGTATGGTAAGACGATTCACCTATGACCGATAGGTTATGAGTTTGAGTCACCAAGGAAGAGAAGTGAGAACATTATTGATTCTTCTTAAAAAAAAAAGTACTTCAAGGCAAGCGGTTTGAAACAGGCCTTTTTAAAGAAACAAAACTATCAAACAGAATCAAGTGAAACGAAAAGGAACATATCGTTGCAAATTCATTCATAATATTCGATCATAAAACAGCAAATTCATATATCCATCACCTATATGTTGGGCATATTATGTTTTTCCACCCCTTCAAGATTCTTATACAAAGGTAACAAAACAAAAATTCCTTGTCTTACCGTTCCAAAACCCGAAAAATCGCCATTAAACCCACACACCCAATACAACCTTTCTCTACACAAACCAAAAAGCCTTCACCTTGGAGAAGTATACGAGAGATTACCATAATGCCCCTGGCTTGGGGAACCATCATGCACCCGTGGGCTCCTCCTACCCCTGTCTGACATGGGCCTGCTGTAGCCCGGGCTAAGCCCATAGTCATGATCACCATACCTAGGAAAGTGATTAGAAAGAGATGGGCTGGTCCCGGGCTCGCAGCCCGGAGGCCCAACATCATCCAAATCCCTCGACCATCTTCGCTCGCTTGTGTTGAGATTTTCGTACGTTCGGTTATTATGTCGGCGTTGTGAATTGTATCCTGACAGGTTGGCAAACGAAGGGTTTCGAGCCCACAGCCACTCATCAGCATTTTTGGGGATTGGGGCATTTATTCCTGGGAAGTCAACGGTCTTTTTCTTGGAGAGTTCGGTGGGGCCCGAGTCGAGGATTTCTCCTTCTTCACCTTCTTCCTTTGCTACCTCCTCGCCAAAAATTATTATACCCGAAGGTTGATCTTCACGGTCCACG